AACCTTATTTTCAATAAGCAATCCTGAAAAATATTGGGGGGTGCTTAACTTTTTTCCAGGTGTATATGAGAAAACCACACTTGAGTGGCATAGTCTTTGTGTTTTGTGCTGAGATCGACTGATTTTCAAGAAATGCCAATCGTTACCACAAATTTCGAGTAGGAGATCACACCGAAAACTGGATGGTGCCCCAACACCCTTTTCACATGTAACTGCTTTGAATTTGTAGAAGACTGAAAATACTTCTGTGGTCTTTATAAATATAATTATATTATTTCTGAAGCCACTATTAGAGGCCTTTACAAAAAAAAAGTCATTGTACTACTCTTGAAGATGTGGTATTTGAAAAATTCCAAGTGTGTAGCGTGAGTGGCACGTGAATTCTAGGAGATATGGCGCTATTTTGTATGTAGCGATCAGATCAGCTCTCCCAGTTTTCATCAAGTTTTTTTGTTGTTTTTTTTTTCAGATAACATCTCTCGACATTAATAAAAGTATTGTCTGTCGTCTCCGTTCGTTCATCCTTGACTTGAATAAATAATGATTTTTTTTTCAAATTGTTTTCACACTGTGTCTTGTTTCTTTCTTCAATTTTCGATTTACATATTCAGTTTAATTTCGTGATGAATTTATTGCTGTCCCTCCTGTTATATGCGGTTGTTATTCTTATCCAGTAAGGAAAATCAATAGACCCGATACTACTCCAAAGGGTCAATGTTAGATACCTTTACAGAAAATTTCCAGGGAACCCCTAATAAATAAAGATTATTTGTGTTGCCACTTTAATATAAAAATGTCTGTCATGTAATGTTTTAATATTAAATGTATAACAATGTGCTTATATGTGACCAGAAATGAGCAAAAACAACATTAGATACTCGAATTACATCTACTTACCGTCAGTGCTAACCATCCTTAACCGGGCTAAGTCTGTTTTATTTCCAACTAAAATTACGGCTTTCCTGTCCACATCTTCTAAACTTTTAATCTGATTTAGGATGGTTCTAGCTTTATGGAAACTGGCTCTGTTGGTTACGGAGTATACAACCACATAGGCGTCAGCGTTAAATTCCATTAAGTTAAGCTCGGTGTCTGTCTGGAAAAAGGACAAATATGTTTAAAAATACAGTACAAGCCCAGATCATATCACATTACACCAATTTTATGAAATTTGGTTGACATCATAAGTATTCTAACTGAAGTAATTACCCGTGAAGTGTATTGTTTCCCAGATAAATTCATGTACAACCCTGTTTCTTAAAATAAGTATTCTTTCTGAAGTAATTACCCGTGAAGTGTATTGTTTCCCAGATAAATTCATGCACACTCCTGTTTCTTAAAATA